GATATCAAAAAAGTACTCCAGAGTGTTGTTCAGCATGGGGGTGAGTAGAAAATGAAGGCTAATCATGTTTTGGGTGTACTATTCCTTTAAAGTCAGAATTCTAAGAAAAAAGTCAGAATTCTGACTTTTTCTCAGAATTCTGACTGAATTCTGAAAATAAAAAAAGTCAGAATTCTGAGTTTAAAGTCAGAATTCTGAGTTTAAAGTCAGAATTCTGAGTTTAAAGTCAGAATTCTGAGAAAAAAGTCAGAATTCTGAGTTTAAAGTCAGAATTCTGAGTTTAAAGTCAGAATTCTGAGTTTAAAATCAGAATTCTGAGTTTAAAGTCAAAATTTTTCCCCATGTTAAACTGAAATAAAATTTAAAAATCAGTTAACTTTTTTTTTTCAGTGGCCCTAATCCTCTTCCGTATGGTGCGCCTTGATATCATCAGATTAATATTTTTACTTCCAGTGCCTCCCTGTTTGTAGCTGAAAACCTTCTGTGCGCCTTGATGATAAATAGAAAGCTTGTAAGTAGATGGAAAAGCCCACATTGAAGTCAACGGTGAGCTAGAAGATGGGAGGAAACAGGTTATTGTTCTAATGGCAACTTTTGGTAAAATAAAGCTTTTATTTTAATTCATAAAGAAGAAGGGAGTTCGATGAAATAACGGATCCCCGCGTGGGGGACTCCTTTTTCAGCGGGAGTTGTATACCGTCACGTTGTGCTTATGCGCATGCGCGGCATGTGTGGCGAGGAGGGAGGAGGAGGAGGAGGAGGTGAGGTCCTGGAGTGATGATGATGGCAGCAGGGGGAGCGCAGAGGCTCAGAGAGGAGTGAGAAGTTCCCGGTGATGGCGGATAAACCCTCCACGCTGTTCGTGAAGCTGTTTGCCGCTGGGTTTTACGGTCTGAGCTCGTTCCTCATCGTGGTGGTGAATAAAAGCGTCCTCACCAACTACAGGTAACCGTTTCATCTCCCGCTGCCTGCCGCGCGCCGCTGCCATGCTAGCTGTAGCTCATTAGCTCCGCTCTCCGCTAGCGATGTTCTCCACTCACGGTCTACTTTTTGCTGTATTTATTATCTATCTCTAGTGTTTTCTCTTGTTTGTGACGTGTTGGCTAACACGGAGCTGCTTGTATTTTAACTGTTTCCCAGGTTTCCCTCTTCAATATGTGTGGGAATAGGACAAGTAAGTTGACATTTTTTCAGTCTTTTGGTTTTTTTTTGTAAGCTAACTGTTCATTAAAGCAGCGGATGGAGCTAAAGTGATCTTCTGTGGGGGGGTTTCTGTTGCAGATGTTGGCCACAGTGCTTGTGCTGTGGGTGGGCAAGGCTGCCAGGGTGATCAGCTTCCCTGACCTGGATGAGAGTATATTTTACAAGGTAGGAGCAGGGGCGGATTTACGAAATATGGGTTCCCTGGCAAAGACAGGCAGGGG